AGTGAATAAACAGATTATAATTTCTGGAAATATCAGAATACTTAAAATACAGAAAAGCAAGTCCATTAAATTTTCTCCTCTTTATATAACAGCAATATGGCCTAGGTGAAAAGATAGGTCCTGAGCTATGCTGTGGATTATTTTTCTTTGAGAAAAAGTCCCTTATGTTTACAAACTCTGAAATAAAAGACAAATTGTTCTTCCCAAAGGTCCCTACACCACGTTCCTTACAAAACCCAAAGGATCAACTATTTCTTCCTCTTATTCTTTCTTTCTCACTGCCTTTGTAAAACTGTGACTGCCCTGTAATTTCCTTCCTTTAAGTGAAACAAGAAGAGCCTTCTGTTAGGTTGATTAATAATTTGAAGGAATAATAAAAAAAATGAGAAACATTACCCCAAAGTATTTTCAAAAGGGAACATATGCCATTTTTTCTAAGCACAGTAAATGTTTTTAATGTTATCACAATTTGAAAAACCATCATTAAATACATACTCCCTATGATGGATTGAGATGATAGAACCAAGTATGAAAAATTGGTAACTATTCTATTTACATCTAAAGTAATTTGTATTCAAGAATTAAATACTTTTTTTCGGGGTGGAGTGGACAAAAACAAAATAAAACAAACAAACAACAATAAAAAACAAGGCCAAGGCTAGGGTCATTCTCCTATGAAGGAAAAAACAAACCAGAACTATAATACCTACATTTTTCTCTAGAGAAATGCTTCAATAACCCGTTTTCCCCTTAGATTTATCAAATAAATGCATATTGTTGCTTTGCACTTACTGTTTGTCTGTTATTTCACCAGTTAGCTTCAATCCTCAGGTCTACTCAACCAAAAGTATAGTAGTCAACATCTGAATTATTTGACATTCATCATAAAGAATGAATCTCCAGAAAGTTTACATAAAAGCACCTTATAAACCAAGCATTTCTCCTTCATTTAATATTTTAAATGACTAGTCTCTAAAATCATCCTAATTATTAAAATGTTGAAATCAGAAAATTATAAATTAATTTTACTTTTCACCTCTTCACCTGTTTTAGATTTTTATGTAGGACACAGATGAAGGTGAGTCCACTCTTCTTTCAAACTCACTATAAAGAAAACCATACAAGTAACTGAAGAATATAAAAGATGAATTGTTTAAAGATACCAGGTCACTAAGTAAATGCACTGAAAACAAAATTCATGGTTTTTCTTCTTGAAATTGAACCATGCAGATGGTTTCTACAGAATGAGAGTTCCATTCTCCAAGTAAGGCAATTTTAAAGAAAACTAAAATATACATTTGAAAACAGTAGGAAATGATTAGTGACTCAAAACATTGCTTTTCCTCTCTTATATTAATGCAACCATCTTTAATTTCTAAAACAAGAAATAAAATGTCAATATACTTCCACTTACATAAGTTTTCAGTGTGCTGATGGGCAGTTACAATTTCTGGGTGAGGTTTTTTAAAACTTAAATGTCACCGTATTTTCATATACTAAACGACTTTCCTTCAATAATATCTTGTTTTAAAATATGACATGTCCTGGCCAGTTTGGCTCAGCGGTTAGAGCATCGGCCCTCGGACCAAAGAGTTGCAAGTTCAATTCCCATTCCCTCCCATGCAGGAGACAACCAATTGATCTCTTTCTCTTCTCCCATCACATTCAATCTGAAGATACATGGAAAAATATTCTCGAGTGAGGACTTAAAAAAAATATATATGACAACAGATCTTAATGCTAAAACCATTGTGAGCAATACCACTAGGGGAAAAAAAACCAACACGTATGACAGACAGCAAGCACTCTGCTGCTCATCCAACAGATATTCACTGAAATGGTGATCCACTAAAGACTATTTGACAAGATACAGGGAGACTGCTATATACAACCCCTCCCCTTCTTACACATGAAGGAAAGAAACAAGACTCACCAGGACTAAAATTATTTCAGCTGAGTGGAATAAATCCAGTCACATTTAAGTAAAATACAAAGTACTGTGTTTTGTCCAACTCATGTGAAATTACAATACAATTCTTTAACCACAAAGAGCAAAGAAATGAAAAAAAATCTAAGACTGAATTTAGTTTTAAATCAGAAATATTAAATGTCTTCAAAAGATTATTGACAGCAAATAGTCCTGCTACAGCAAAATCTCATCCTCCCTTCACAGCAAATACTCCAAGACATAAATATAAAGCCAGTTTCCATAAGGCAAGCAGAAGGAGCACCCTAAGAGCCACTCCAGAAAACAGTTAACCTTTAGGGCCCTCCACTCAACAGGTACAAGAAAAGGCCTCCAAATAAGTATTTCCCAGAATTTAATCATGTTTCTGTATCCCAAGGTTTAAAAAGGAAATATTCTAGTTTTGATGAACGTACTCACCATTGACTCCATTTAAGCAAATAAGACAGACAAAAATTGGGGGCTGATGGTAAAATGAATTACCTACTTCCTGAATCTGTTTTTGGGTGGCTCTGAGATCATGAAAATGGTAATTCACACAAGAGAAATGCCTTATCAATCATTAAGAGCGGCTCTACTCAAAGAAAACAAAAATATATCACCTCTTGAACTAAAAAGTAAAGAATAACAAAATTCTTCCGAGGGTAAGAAAAAACGTTTTTAAAAAACTGAATGTTTAAAGTTTAAATCAGAAGCAAAGTTTAAATCTTCAGTTCATATATTAAGTTCAAATTAATCAAAACAGTGTTGTTTGTCCACCAGTTTGAAGCCAAATATTTAAAATAAATACTACGGAAGAAAAAGGGGCTATGGGAACTCGTTTAATTAAAACAGGGCCCAAAAAAAAAAATCTTCCCCAAAAAAGAAAATAAGAACTAGAAGACAAGGATAGACTAGATTTGGAATGGGGTGGGGGGAATGCCAGGAAAGTGAAACGGGAAGGTAGAAAGCAACTCTGCTGAAATGTAGAGAGAAAGAGGTTCTTTCTACCTTGGGGGCAGGGGATGGAACAATTTGGAGAAATGGGGATACTCTCGCATCCTAGAGCGCTGGATTGCGAAAGGCCAGACTCAATTCTCCAAGCGTATCACCATCCGGAAAACTAGAGTTCATCAAAGGCTGTTCTGCCTTACGTTTTCCCCACCAACACCGACTGGATGTCAGCAGCAAACGGTGGGGTGACGCCGAACAGCGCAACAGCATCTCGGTGAAGGAGGGAAGAAACTTCGCAAGAGGAAGCAGCGGCTCCTCTCGGCCCCCAGGACCGCCGGCGAAGTTGCGCCACAGGCGCCCTGCTCGGCGGGCACCCCCACCCCGGTGCCCCGCCACAGGCAGTACTACGCAGCACTCGACCCTTCAAACTGTCCCCGAAGTCCAACTACGCCTCCCGTCCCTCCAACCCCCGCACCCATCCCAACTAAGTTCCAGGAAAAGCTTGTGCCCTGAGCGCGGCCTGTTCCGGACAACAGGTGGGCAGTGGCGCCAGCAGGGCTGGGCCTTTCCTAGCCAGGCCCACTCCACTCCTCCCCAGCCAGGGCCCGGGAGCTCCCGGCTCCGGGACGGGGAGGGGGAGCTCGCTCCCTTACCTCCGCCATATTTGCCGTACTGACGGGTCACATCTCCGCAGCGGCCGCAGCTGGGTCACGGCCAGAACCCGGATGTGAGACTCGGCAACGGGACTCCAGTCCTGCTGCCGCCACCGCCTCTCAGCTCCCGCCGCCGCCTCTGCCTCGGCGGGAACGCGCAGAAGCCGCCCCGAGCTCGCCCACCACACCCCACTCCGCCCCCTCGCGGTGACCCGACAGAGCCGGACTGGAGGGAAAAGGACAGCGCGCGCGGAAGCAGGGACTGGCGCGGGCCACGACGGCCCTCCCCCTCCCCGTGCAGCACGAGGGGGCGGAGTCAAGGTGGGTGTGGAGGGAGGTGGGCATCTCAGCGAGGGGCGACTCCCTGACCTAGCGGATCAGCCACTCCAGCCAAGAGAGAAGTCTCCAGGAACTACAGAAGTCAAGGAAGGGTGCCAAAGGAACCGAGTCTGGCATTCACACCGCAGGGAGAAAAATACGTTATATTTTACATGTAGGCCTTTTTTGAAGTGCATTTGCCGAAAAACGGATGTTGCTGTGATGCAACAGCGGCAAGTCGTGCGCTTTCAAACCTGTTATCCCTTGACAAATATATTCCCCTCTCGGCTGGTTTGCGACGGGGAAATGTAAAATTCGGTATCTCAACATTTTAGTGGTATGGGCAGAGATTAAGAAAAGGGATTGTTAGGTAGCCTGCCATCCTCCTATCTAATTTGTTTTTCCTCACACACCTGCTGAGATGCCAGTAGCAACCTAAGTGTGCAACGGTTGCATTTTGCACTAGAGAAAAAATTTAAATGTGAAGTATTGCAAAGCTGCTCTTTAATGGACATAGTCTCCGACCTGACTGCATGAAGGGAAAACTTTCTCATTTGCAATGCCTGAAATGCCTGCAATTTTAAAGTTTATTATTATGTATTGGCCTAGAACTGTCCATAGGCCTTAATGCCAACTCTGATGATTGCCAGAGCCAATGACTGCAAAATAACAAACATTTCACTTCCATTACTAAGGCAGATACTGGCTAATGCAAAGATGATGTTAAAACGTGCATTAACATATTTCACTAAACCAGGAGTTTTAAAGTCTTATTTCAAAAAGACACCACCCACACACACATGTACAAGGGTTCCTCTTGATGCAATTTTCAAAGGACTACCAAAATCAACCGGTTAAATATGAAAATTATTCATTCCCTCCAAATAATGTAATGCCAGTACAATATATTGCAAAAATGCGCACATATAAAATTTTTCTTTAATACTTAACTTACAATGCAATATGGGGGAAGCTGTTTTTGTAAGGTATTTGTATTCCCTTAAAATTCTAGACTCTGTTAAGCAGTTTCCTATTTCTAAAGATTCAACATTAACTTGAAATTCTTATGTCCAATAATAATTTGTGCATTTACAGGCATATGAAGTAGCTGCTAAGTGAAAGGACATTACCTGGTAATTTGACAGGAAAAGAGTCCACAGACAGTCTGTAAACCAATTAAACATAAACATCTGATGCACATTTTCTACTGAAAGAAAAGCAAGGGAAAGAAGAGAAAGGAAAACTTTAAGGTTCCCAAATCTACAAACAATTTTTACCATTAACTGTACTGTACAGTATTTTCATTTTATTTTTTAGAATACTTATATAATAGTGGTTTTCAGGATTCCTTGAGGGAATAAATATTTTAGCATAGATACGTAGTTTCTAAGTTACCCTGTTGAATTACCTTAATCCTTAGGACTAGAAATAAAAATGGCTTTTTAAAGTCTGTTCATAGTCACATAATTTTCACTTTGAGATGTTTGAAGGAAAAAGCTAAAGGCAAAGAACAGTGGATGTGCATAGACTTGAGGTGGGTAAAGATAAAAATAATAAGGGGCCTCGAGGTAGAAACTCAGGCTTTTTTATAATATCATGGCGATAAAGGAGGATTTTCCATTTAAATACGAAAGCTAATATGTGAAATTTATGTAGCTGGTTACCAAAAGAAAAAATTTTAAGTGTTGTCAAAAGCAAGGTACAGTAGTAATTCGCTTGCTTAGGTCCATTTAATCTTTGATTCTTCAGTTAAACCATCAACAAAAATCCCAACTGTGATACAAAGCTAGGGATCACAGCCTCTTAAGCTACTGAATGAATGCTGAAATTGTCAGGAAAATCGAGGTCTGAGAAATACTTGAATGGGTATCTATCTTACTGATAAGTGACCTTAAACCTTATTAATCTTATGTATTAATTTTACTAAGTTTAAGTGGCATAATGACATAGAGGAAAAAAACTCCCTCTACATTTTCCTCCTTCCCATCTTTACAAAGGTGGGTTCAGTGATTATTTTTTTCTTTTTTGGTTCAGAGATTCTAAAATTAAAGAGAAACAGCTCCAATATTGTAAGTCATTGGTAACATGTGACTACTGAATTCAATACAGTTCTAATCCCATTTTATTCTAATATATCTTCACAAATTTTAGGAGCCACCTTAAGGAAAATGAAGTCTTTTTCAAATCTCTCGCTTACCTCTTCGGTAAAAATTAAGTATTCATTAGCCATAGAACCTTAGTGTTGGATGAAACCTTAAAGGTCTTTGGTCTATTCTCCCCTATGTAGGCAGGAATCCCTCACTATGTCTCCCCACTCACTTTTCTGCCTATGTTTAAACACCTCCAATGACTCACTGTGTCATGAAGAAGCTGCTCTTTTAAAAAAAAAGGTCTAATTTTTGGAATATTCTTTTTATTAATCCAGTATCTACCTCCTTGTTGCTTCCATCCATTACCCTGAGTTCTTCAGCACTTTGGATGAGTACTACAGATGTCTTCTTTGTATTCAAATGCAAACAGTCAATATTTAAACTTGGGTTGACAAAAAATAAATGTTGAAAGCCTACTGATACTAGAAGAGCTGAAAACAGGACATGACAGAGTTAAAGGCATGAGAAAATTCACCAATACCTATGAGCTGTGTAAAATTATTATGGTTTACAGTATTTAATAATGTGACTTTCAAAATGGTTGTTCTGCTAATTGTAGTATTATGTTTAAAGTTAAACTAAAAAGTGTGGTTAATTCCAATTTTATGTGAGGTTTGTGGCTAATGTCCCAAAACAAACAAAAAAATCACTATACAAAGCCTGAATAAATGCCTCTTTAGCTTCCACTCCCCATCTAAAGGCTTCCTATTTTCAAGAAAACTAACATTAAATTTTAGTACATTATGCTATTCGAAACTGCTATTATATTGGGAAATTATTTTTAAGCAATTTACTGAATGCTCCATTAAAAAGTTATTAAACAATTTTATAGAAGCTATAATACACATACACAAGAACCCTTCAGAGTTATTATTTTGCTGTTAACAAAAGCATTTTAAGGTCACAATTTTACTTCAACCAATACCTTAAGCTAACCAATAAGTAAACTTCTTTGGCAATTTACTATCCTAAGAAATATAACCTTTTATTCAGTACCAACACCTGATTCAAATATAAGTAATATATACCCATACTGTATAAACATACTGTTATGTAACTTAAAAAGATTCCTCTCAAAATGCACCAAAAAAAAAAAAAAATGCTTGTAGCAATTTAGACTCTGGGGCTATCTGAATGGAACATTAATAGAGCACATTCAAAACCCTAAAAACAAAATCTATACCTAACAATTTTCAGAGTCCCTGAGTCCCTTTTGAGATTTTGTAACAATTTCCTAAAATTTTTGTTTAAAAGTGACAGCCTACACATGATGTGCAGGTAAAAAATTTATGGATAACTACTAATTTGGTTGAAAATACCTAAATATCAAAAAAGTTCACCTATTTTTTAAAATGACATTTTAGATAAAGGCTGAGAGTTTTTACCTTTACTTTAGTAGGCAGGGTGCAGGTTACAAAGCAGTAATGCATTACATTTGGAAGTCCCTCATCTATTCCGACAATCAGCATCAGCGTCTTTATGTTAGTTTTTTATTGTTAACGCTAGCCCAAAACACTCATATAGCCTTTTGGTTCTTCAAAGAATAGTTTAGGTTTTTCTTTTCATATGTTTTACAAAAAGAGTTTTATCCAGGGACCCTATTTTATCAGATTATCACCAACTGATACTTTTATATTTCTCATATTGTTGACATGTTATTTTTATCTCACCCAAACTCTGGAAATTATTGACCCATCAGCAGTTCTCAAACACTGGAACATATAAGAGCAGTATACTGATAGGACTTGAGGGAATTTGGATTTTCCCTCCCTTCATCTCCAAGTGCACCCCTGCCTACCAGCATCACATCCGTCTTGTCTGCATTGAACCTCAACCAGTTGGTTCTTAACCACGTCCGAAACTCAGCCAGGCACTGGGAGAATCGAGCCACCACACCATCTGGATCAAAGGAAAGAGAGCCTCAGTAGTAACAAGACCAGAGATAATACCACAAACTCACCATTCACCCTTTCTCTAATTTTTAAAAGATGTCCAGGAATTAGGACAATTTTTGAAAACATTAACGAATCTTGAGTCGTCCAATTTGTAACCAATGGTAAAGGAATAAAAGCGACCCAATAAAGAGGTCACCTCATTCCACCCATGAATGAAGAAAGAAGGTTCTGTCAACTCCAGGTCATCTCGGCTAAGCGGCCTCAGGAGACTGACCAGTCTTGTAACTGCATAAGTTTTTCTGCAAAATTAAGAATTTTAGCGTTGGAGAAAGCTTTAGGGATAACTGGGGCCCAGAAAGGGGTAGTGACTCGCTCAAGGTCACACAGCAAGCGAGGACCAGGGATGAGTTACAGGCCAGAGATCTTTCCACTAAGGCTGGAAGAACAAGGCCATTCAAAGGAGGGGGAGGCATCTGTCCCCAGGAATCCTTCCACCGGCTGGGAGGAAGTCGGTCCCTCACAATAATGTCCTATTAGAGTCTCTCTTCCCTCCCTCACCCCCTCCAAAAACAGCCGGTTTGCCCAGGATCCTGCTCACCGCAAGGGCTGCTATGGGAGCAGGAGCCTCCCCAGACTGGGACTGAACCCCGAGATACTGGGGAAAAGAGGCGGAGCCACAGAGGGGAGGTCAGTTTAGCCCCACCCCGACCAGGATCGGAGGCCGACAGGAGAAAGGGGCGGAGGCGAACAAGGCTAGGCAAACTCACGCCGCAGAGGCTTCTCAGCGCCGGGGCCACCGCCAAAAGCAAAAGATCAGGCTGGGAGGGGTGGGTGGCGGAGGGGAGCTGCGCATGCGTCTTGGGTGGCCGGCGCCACTCTGGGAGGGGAACAGAGCCGCAGCCCCTCCCCGGAAGTTAAGGGTCTTCCGGGCGGTGCTCTGAGGTGGGGGAGGGGAAGGAGAGAAAGGGGACAGAGGACACCTCAGGAGTCCCTCATCTCAAAAAGGACTAGGAGAGGAGAGGTGATTTATGGAGGCTGCACTTACAGCCGCTGCCGCTGCTACCGCCGCCACCTTCGCTGCTGCCGCCACCGCCTGTAGAAGCCCCATCCATCCGCCTGCAACCGGGGAGACTCAGAACCTGGGAGGGGCCTGGGGCCGGGGCCGCCCGCCTCCTTCTTCTAGTCGTCTCCCCGAGCTTCCTCTTGCTCCACCAACCCTCTGCCCTCCCCTCCGCCTCCGCCCTCCTCCTTGGCCTCCAGCCGCCAGCCAACCGCGCGGCCGCTTGTTGAGTCTGGGCTCCATGGTCTCCATGACGCCCGACAAACATTCCGGTGCTTCAGCACCAGCCTAACGCCTGGGGTTGGGGTACAGGGACTCCAGGAGCCGGCAGGGAAGGGGGTGGTCGACCCCTTCCCAGCTAGTCGCCACCATGCCCATGTCTCCGACAGACAGCCGCAAGCAGATGAACCTCGGATTGTAAGTTCCGGCGGTAAAACCTTAGTCTGTCTCTCTGGGTCACGGAGGGAAGGAATCCTTTTAGAGCCCATCTCTTGCATCTGGGTTCAATCAGCAGCCCTCGAGGCTTCCAGGCGGCAATATCTCACCTTCCTTGGCCTAGTACAGTCTTTTTCAAACCCCCTACTGCTGTGCTTGCTCTATGAGAAAAGCCAGAGTTTGAGAATACCCTCATAGCACTCCGTGTTTCCGCTCAGCAGCTGCAAGCTAGTCGCCTACGCGCTGCGCCTACAAGTTCAAACCTCTCAACTCCTGTGAGCCACCAAACTGGACATTACTTTGCTCTGTAGTCGCGTTTTATTTCTGCCGCCTCCTCATGCCATTCTGCCTTAAAACTCTTTCCTGCTTAAAACATTGTACTGTTCCTGTAGCAGGTGAATGAGAGGCTGGAGAAAAGCACACAGCTCTGAGGACTTGGCTCGCTTAGAAGTTCAGGTGTTCCTTTAGTGCTGCCCAGCAATGCTGCTCAAGTTCCCTAATTTACTCTCCCATACTTCCAGACCCCTTTTCTTGTCAAATTTTGAACATCTCTCCAATCTCCTCCAGCTCAGCTACTTTTCCTTTAGCAGAACTTGTTGAAAGTTCTTGGGAGAGAACCCTCCATTCCCTCTTGAATATGATACTCAAATTTTTGCCCATTCTGCCACTCCAGCAAATAGCTTTCCTAAAGGTCAACAACAGTAGCTACCCAGCCATATTCAATGGCCATGTCTGTTTCATTCTCAACTCACCCATCAGCAGCTTTGATGTAGTTGATCATTTCTTGAGTTTTCAATCACTTCCTTTGGTTTCTGGGACACCACTACTCTTCCCTAGTTCTCCCCTTGGTTTTTGGCTACTTTTCAAAGTAACTTGGTGGTACTTCTTCATTTTTCCCGTGTCTAAACATTAGAGTATTGCTGGGGTTAGCCTTTAAATCTCTTCACTATTATGCCTTTAAAAATCACCTATACACTGATGATTCACAAGTTTATATCTCTAGCCAACACACCTCTCCCAAGAAAACAGACTTTTAAAAAACCCAAACGTTTGCATTTAGAAGTTACTAGACATCTCAAAATTCATATCCAAAACTGAACTTAATTCGCTAACCAACTCTGTAGTAAAATGGCAATTTCTACTCTTCCAGTTAGTTAAAAACCTTGGAGTTACCCTTGACTTCTCTAACATCCCACTCCATTAGCAGATTTTACCATTTCTACCTGCAAAATAAATCCAGGCTACCACTTCGAAGTAAGTCACTGTAACACTGCAGTAACCACATGAATGGTCCTGCCAACACCCTCAACATAGTAATCACTGCGGCTTTTTTTTTTTTAATCCTCACCCAAGGACATTTGTGCATTTATCTTCAGATAGAACAGGAGGGAGAGAGGGAGTAAGAGAGAGAGAGAAACATGGATGTGTGAGAAACACATCGAATGGCCGCCACCCACATGACCCCAGCCAGGGCTGGGGGCAAACTGCAACTGAGGTACATGCCCTTAGCGGGAACTGAATGCTGGACTCTGGTCCACAGGCTGACGCTCTAACCACTGAGTCAAACCTGCGAGAGCACTGTGGCTCTTTTCAAAACTTTCTGCCTCCCATTTCACTGGGAGTGAAAGCTTACTACTTACACTGCCTTATAGTATCTCACCATGGACTCTTCCTCTTGACTAGATACAGTACACTCACTGTTGTCCCACAATAATATCAGGTACATTATTTTCCCACTTCAAGATGTGTGCCTTTGCTGTCTTTTAGACTATATAACCTCTAGATAACTTCATGACTCACTCATTTCCTTTAATTTTTTTTTTCCATTGATTTTAGAGAGAAAGGAAGGGAGAGGGAGAGAGATAGAAACATCCATGAGAGAGAACATCGATTGGCTGCTTCCTGCATGCTCCCCTCCCCCCACTGGAGATCTGGCCCACAACCTGGGCATGTGCCCTGACTGGGAATCGAACCGGCTACCTCTTGGTGCATGGGTCGATGCTCAACTACTGAGCCACACCAGTGGGGCTCACTCATTTCCTTTAGATGTCACCTTATCAAAGAATTCTTTATCCACCCTATACACATTTAATAATACTTCCTCCTTCTCAACATTGCTTTATTTTTCTTCGTAAAACTTACCCCTACTTTGTATACTTGGTTGTTAATCTGTCTTCACTCAAGCTATGGTACTCCATGGGGGCAGAGATTTTTTTGTTGTTGTTGTTCACTGCTATTGCCTAGAGTGAAGAAGGGTTTCAATAAATATTTGCTGACTGAACCAGTGAATGAATGAGTTTGTACTTAAGTGACTGGTTACTCACATCTTGTCTGGTTTTGGTTTTCACATGTGGGATGGAAATTGCAAGGTAAATTAAGTTGAATTTGTGTAAATTTTTAAGAAAGTCATATAACTCTCATAGTAGCTGACAGAGTGTTAGAAAAATTCCCTTGGGAATTTCTTAAATAATGAAAAATTCATAATTACCTATTAAGGAAAGAATTGGGTGGGAGAAAGGAATTAGTATAACCTTACCTTTTTGAGTTAGCCATGTTGTCTAAGTAAAACAAACTTGCACAGACACTAAATTTTACAATGATTTGGCCTAATATGTATGGTATTTCTCATCTTCCTCCTTTTAGGACTTAATCCTGATCTTGGAAATGATTTCATGGAACATGTATTTATCAATTTTCTACTTTTTCACTCCAATTTTTCTTATTTGGGGTCTTTGCCATTGTTTTAACAATATTGAACAATTTCTTATTATAGTAAAAACGACCACTAATTAACTGTTCAATGCTTTTATCCCATTTCTCTGCTCAGTTTTTCTATTCTACTGATTGATTTTTAGAATTTTCATCATTAGAGTCCTTAGCCTATTAATCATAATTCCTTTAAGTTCTAGTCTTATAATTCCCAAATCTCTGCCATAACTTCGTCTGGGTCTAATGCTTGCTTTGTTTCTTTGGACTGTCTTTTGCCCTTTGGTATACCTTGTAATTTATTGTTGAAAACTGAACATATTGTATCAGGTAATATAAACAGAGAAATAAGCCTTTAGTATAAGGTTTTATGTTTATCTGGCTAGGAATTGTGCTATGTTTACTGTTTGCTGTAACAGTGGGATTCTGAGGCTTCAGTTTCTTCTATTGTTCTGGTTTCTATCTCCTCTGTATTTTAGGTTTCCCTAGAGACTCATTCTTAAATAGAGCCTGAGCCTTGCAGTTCTTCCCATTGCAACCCTTGTTATTATACAGGAGCCCTATTCATGTGGTGGTAAGATGTGAGGAGAGAGGAAGTATTCCATAATCTTATGATTAGTCTTAATCATAATGGGCCTTTTAATGGGCCTTTGTCCCTAGCCTGTGACCTTTATAAGTGATTTTCAGATTTTTTTTTTCCTCCTTAGGTAAAACAAGAAGAATAGAGGGACTTGGAGTTGGGTGTGTTTTCCCCCACATTGGTTAGGCTCCGATAAACTAATTTCCCTTGAGGGCAGGCCTTAGGTAGAACTGAACATTCTGGGTATAAATGGTTACTTCCTGTCCCCCTGCTGGCACTATCAGAGAGTTTTTCTCATATTGCATCTTCATAATGAGGGCCTAAAGGAGCTCAGGGAGGTACAAGTCACAAATATGTGGACGGTTCTCTAAGGCTGAGCCTCCAGTGGTTTTTATCTTTTAAATAAGTCTATATTCAGTCTCTAGCAATTAATCAATTACTCTTTAAGTTTTGCTACTACTTGCTGGCTTCAGTGACAGTTTATACACCCAGTAACTTGTGATTCTCTGTTTTTTCCTACCTCTCAAACTTTCAGGTTTATCTGTCACGTCAGTTCTCTGTTGGATCTAAGAAGACCTGTTGGTTTTCATTTGCTCACTCTTTTTTTTTGTTGTTGTGAGAATAAGACTAATGACTTTCATGGTCTTTACATGTTGGACCAAACACCAGAAGTATCTGTGTTCACTTTTTAACTCTTGCAGTTTGTTGTCTCCATTGCTATACAGAAAGTACTCAAAGATCAAATAATGAACAACCTAAATGTTTCAAAAGGCACCAGATTGATGGGCTTTCTTGTCTACTTCTCTGCAGCATTTGGCAATATTGATCTTTCCCTCCTTAACCCTAACTCTACTGGCTTAATTATTCCTGTTCTGAATGCCTTTTTCTTTCTGTCTTCATGTTCTCTCCGTGGCCCTGCTAGTTTCACTTTGTGTCTTTGGTTTTTATTTTGGGACTCAATTCATTTATTATCATATCCAAGCAAAGATTCACAAATCAGAATCTTTATCTCTTATTTTTGTTCCTTGAAATTCACTTTACTCCAGCATTTTCAATTGCTACCAGACAGTTCCACCAGGATAGCACTGGTATCTAAATTGAGCATATATACAACCTAACTTATTATTCTTTAGAAGGAAAGGCTAGTTTAATCATCACCCTAACTCTAGACGGTAGATACTATTATCAACTTTAATTTACATATAAGAAAAGAAATAGATTAAGAAACTTGCTCAAGAACACATAGGCTATGGGTTAAGAGTGGGCATTTAAATAGACCTTTTTGAGTTTAAGTTTTCTCACTTGTAAAACATAGCTATTGAATATCTCACATATTCGTATAAGAATTTAATTAGAAAATATAGATGGAAGTTATTTGAAATTTAAATTTTAAGTGGCATTGTTATTATCAGTTACTAAGTCCTGTCAACTATATATGTGCTGTTTTAAGGATTCCTGGGATGTTTTAATCAGGCATGATAAGACACATAGGACAAGGAAATGATATCATGAAGTAAGAATTTTATTTTTTTAATACTCAAAGATCCCTAGAAACAGGAGGCATGGCATGCCACTCCACATAGGGAACCACATGGGGAAGCTCCAGGGCCAGTCAACAGGTTGAATAAGCAAGGGGAAAACATGGGCAAGAAACTTTACTGTGGTTTCTATGGGGACAAGCAGGCAAAGCAGAATA